ACTGAAATCAATATATTTGAAAATGTAGAAAAACATCCAAAATATTTAATAAATTTCTATTGGTATTCTATTGTTTAACAGTGCGATTAAAATTGCAATTAATCGTAATTAATTTTTTAATCACGATTAAGTTTTTTTGTTAATCGTGTGAGTTAACTGCAATTAATCGACAGCCTTATTTTTATATAAATGTTGTCGTGCTCAGCATTAATGAAAACTGAAGAAGTGACTGAATCAATATTTATTTCAGATAAGAGCATGTCCCTTTTATTGTGTTTGTGCATATATTTAACTCTATAGACAGTCCTGTGATTATGGTTACTTAGCAACAGGACTTTCCCTTTAAGTTCTGAGACTTTCACATAGAAGATGTTCAATGTCCAGAACACATTAAAATTGCCTCTGCTTTTAAATAGACCTAGATAGATCTACATGGTACAATTACACTTTTCTTAGTACTATTAATATGAAGCAGTTCTTTAAAACCACTAGTGTATTTGTATTTAATAAAATAACTTTAACAGAAATATGGAATAACTTCTCAACCAGGATAAAAACAACAAGTTTGCTGGTAACCTGAGATTTGGCAATTAATTTCTCAGGTTGGAATCTCCTCTTCCCGTAAAACATAGAAATAGCTTGTGTTTTCTGTGTCTAGGGTCAATAATGACCATTGATCTATAATGACCATTGATATAGAATATTTCTGTTAATAAAATCAATGCTTTATGGATGTTTCACATATTACAAATTCTACCTGCATGAGATATCTGAAAGAGTTGTTTCATCTACACACACAAAAGTAATTCTAGGGACTTGATCAGAAACAGTTCCATCAAGCCAGCAGAGAAAAAACATTGTAGCAGAAAGTTGTAGTGAGTTCAGTGCTTCATCTTCACTGGCACGGTTTTCCAGAAAACATTTTGATGGCGCTGTCAGGAACCACGAACCTTTCCTCATAGATACTTTACCCTTCCCTTTTCCCCCATAGTAACTGACTTGCTCCTTTTCGCTTGGTATTATTAAGGGCAATTGCTTCAAACAGATAGGTCCTAGAAGTCATCCAGAAAGGATATCCTACTCCAAGCTGCTTCCCCTAAACGCCTTGCCCAGCCCTTTTCAGGAAGCCTTCTCGTGAGAAAATGCAGAGAGCCTTTCTCCTTTATTTGGAAACAAAGTTTCTTTACCAGCTTCTGGATAAGGGGGGCTCTTCCCATTATATCCTTATTGCCAAGAAAAAGGGAGTGTTTTGCATCATCCTTGTTTTAAGGTAGAATAATTATATCCAACAATTCTGATCCCATATGGTGGGTGTAAATCAGCAGGATTTTTTGTGGGCTGTCGACCTCAAAGGCACTTAATTTCATGTTTCACTCAGACTGTCTATGTATGCAGTGTAGTTGTAGCCATGTCGGTCCCAGGATATTAGAGACACAAGGTGGGTGATGTAATATCTTTTATTGGACCAAAGAAGTTAGTCCAATAAAAGCTATTACCTCACCCACCTTGGCTGTCTAACCATGCTGCAGTCCCCATTACTTGTACTTGGTTCTACTCTTTGGTCTTTTAGCAACCCCAAGACTCAAGGGTTTCATTGTAATGAAAATTTAATAGCCCTGACACACAAACCTATTTACTTATTTTTACCTTACCCTGATAAGGAAAATACAAATGATTCTTCTGTGTTTAAAATTAAAAAAAAAACTAGTCCCTGTTCATGTGATTTTTGCAAGGCTGGCTTATCTATGTGATTAGCCAAAAGAGCTCTTTTCACAAGGGGTGAAGTATAATTTGGACAATGTGTATAAATGTTTTCGCTTCCTTGGGCTCAGGATCAACCACAAGAAAATCAACATTCATTGTCACTCAACCCCTTGAGTTCACAAGGAGCCATTGTGGGCTCCACTCTGCAACAACTTATTTATTGCAGACTGATTCCTACAGGTTTGAAAGTCAGTTGTCCTACGTGAGATGGGAAAAAATTATTTGACTGGCATGGAACACTTTCCTTCCTTGTTTCGAGGACAAGTCTGTGCGCTTCTTGGCAAACAACGCTGCCATCATCTATTCACTCCATGAGTAAGAGGAACTTGATTCCTCCACCAAAGTCAGGAAGTGTCCAACTTCTGGAAGTGGTCCATTTGACATCAGATAAGACCCTATTTGGGGATTGAGTCCCTGTGACTGTCAAGTATCAGAGGGGTAGCCGTGTTAGTCTGAATCTGTAAAAAGCAACAGAGGGTCCTGTGGCACCTTTAAGACTAACTGTGTCTGTCATCACTCCACTCCTGATCCAGTGGCGGGTTTCAGCATACCATGATGCTATCTCTGACCTATCACCCATGCTTCTCTTCTTGTCCTCCTTGCTTTTGATACTCTCTGTCCAGTCCTGGCTCTCTACTGACCCCTCTAATTGTATTTTCAGTGGTCTGTTTGATTCACACACCCCCGCCCCAACTTCAACTCTCCCAAAGGCCTCTGTCTTTTCTTTCTCTGTTCTGTAGCATCAGATAATCTGATGAATGACTCATAAATCTCTCCCAACTCCAGACCCAGCTCCCTATGTCTAAACCAGCATCTTGGTCTCCTCATGATCTCCTATTTAAAATCACCATGGCCAAAACTGAGTTCTTGATCTTCCCCTCTCCACCCCACCAATGTCTTCCCTCGCAGGTTGGAAGGCCAAGGTTGACTGAATAGCAATAATCAATTTTATTTTGCTATATTCAAAAGACTATCTTATATCATGTGATATCTTTATAGGTAGAGTAACAAAAGCAAATACCAAAAGCAACATGAAAACCCACCCAGTATACACTTGCATAATATTGTGTTTAATGTCATTGTATAATAGCAATGGCAGAAGTGCAGATAACAGTGATGATATATAATCTAGGGCTATCAAGCAATTAAAAAAATTAATTGCAATTGTGCTGTTAATAATAAATACCATTTATTTAAATATTTTTGGGTGTTTTCTACATTTTCAAATATATTGATTTCAATTACAGTACAGAATACAAAGTGTACAGTGCTCACTTTATATTTACTTTGATTTCAAATACTTGCACTGTAAAAAAAAAAGTATTTTTCAGTTCACCTAATACAAGTACTTTAGTGCAATCACTTTATCATGAAAGTTGAACTTACAAATGTAGAACTAAGTCCATTCAGAAATAAAACAATGTAAAAATTTATAACCTAAAGTCTGTCCTACTTCTTTTTCAGCCGATTGCTCAGCCATAAAAGTTGGGTTACAAATTGCAGGAGATAATGCTGCCCGCTTCTTGTTTACAATGGCACCTGAAAGTGAGAACAGACGTTTGCATGGCACCGTTGTAGCCTGCGTTGCAAGATATTATGTGCCAGATGCTCTAAAGATTCATATGTGCCTTCATGGTTCAACCATCATTCCAGAGGACATGCATCCATGCTTATGATGGGTTCTGCTCGATAACGATCCAAAGCAGAGTGGACTGACATGTTCATTTTCATCAGCTGAGTTAGATGCCACCAGCAGAAGGCTGATTTTCTTTTTTGGTGGTTCGGGTTCTGTAGTTTCCACATTGGAGTGTTGATCTTCTAAGACTTCTGAAAGCATGCTCCACACCCCAGTTGATCAGATTTTGGAAGGTACTTCAGATTCTTAAATCTTGGGTCGAGTGCTGTAGCTATCTTTAGAAATCTCACATTGGTACCTTCTTTGCGTTTTGTCAAATCTGCAGTGAAAGTGTTCATAAAACGAATATGTGCTGGGTCATCATCCGAGACTGCTATAACATGAAATATATGGCAGAATGTGGGTAAAACAAAACAGGAGACATACAGTTCTCCCCCAACCAGTTCAGTCACAAATTTAATTAACGCATTATTTTTTTAACGAGCATCATCAGCATGAAAGTATGTCCTCTGGAATGGTGGCTGAAGCATGAAGGGGCATACAAATGTTTAGCATATCTGGCACGCAAATACCTTGCAACGCCTGCTAAAAAAGTGCCATGTGAATGCTTGGTCTCACTTCAGGTGATATTGTAAACAAGAAGCAGGCTGCATTATCTCCTGCAAATTGTAACCAAACTTGTTTGTCTGAGTGATTGGCTGAATAAGAAGTACAACTGAATGGACTTTAGGCTCTAAAGTTTTACATTTTTTTTTAAAGCAGTTATGTAACCAAAACAAATCTACATTTGTAAGTTATGCTTTCACGATAAAGAGATTGCACTACAGTACTTGTATAAAGTGAACTGAAAAATACTGTTTCTTTTGTTTATCATTTTTACAGTGCAAATATTTTTAATAAAAAATAATATAAAGTGAGCACTGTACAATTTGTATTTTGTGTTCTAATAGAAATCAATATATTTGAAAATGTAGAAAAACATCCAAAAATATTTAATAGATTTCAATTGGTATCCTATTGTTTAACAGTGCGATTAATCGTGATTAATTTTTTTAATCACGATTAATTTTTTTGAGTTAATCGCATGAGTTACCTGCGATTAATCGACAGCCCTAATATAATCACAGCAGATTAGATAGTTTAAATTTATTTTAATCGTGTAGATAAATTCAGTATAGCTATGCATTGCTCTCAAAAATCTAGAAGGGATTTAAGAGTACAAGTCCTATTAACTTTTAGTCAGATTTATGCTAACTCCTTTGGATGCTTCTGAAGCTCCCCTCAAAGTATGCAGAGAGTATCATTGACTCTGTCATGCATGCCATTGGCAACAAGTCTTGCCAAGATTTGCGCAGTGTTGGCAGATAGCTTCTGCTCCTCCTTTTCCCTCCCATTAGTAATCACTTCCCCCTGGATTTCACAAATGTGCAAACTACAACATGCAGAGATAATATCAGATCTTTCACAGAAGAATCGAGCCACGTCCCCAGACACTTCCACCAGCCTTTCAGCCACATCTAGATTTCTTCATCAGCCAGTATTTCCAAAAGCCCAGTTAGCTTAAAATAGTGTAACACAGTGTGACTTATTTTGGGTTAATATTTGTGAAACGTAAAGAAATGTAAATCCTATGTTTTTGTACAGGTTCGAATGCAAGCATTGAAATGCTTCTCAGTTCTAGCCTTTGAAAACCCCCAGGTATCAATGACTCTTGTAAATGGTAAGCTGAAAGCTTCAGTGGCTAATATGTTCATTTTACAAATTAACTGAATTTGAATTATTTCCTGAATCCTCTTTTTCATTGTTTGCAGTTTTGGTTGATGGAGAATTATTACCACAGATTTTTGTGAAGATGTTACAAAGGGACAAGCCTATTGAAATGCAGCTCACATCAGCCAAATGGTAATCCTCAACAGGAGCTAGAGGGAGAGGGGCTGCAATGTAACTAATGCTTAAAATTGCAACTCTTACAAATCTTCTTGTCATAAAATCCTAAGTGATAGAATTGGGTGAAATGTTAGTCTGTAGTCCATCTCCTTGCACTTATGCAAGATAAACTCTTGTACTCCTTTAAAGTGTTGTTGTTAAATAATATTCAGTATTTATATTATACTAGTACCCAAAGGTTCCCATTCAGGGTTAGGGACTTCATTGTGTTGGACATTGTACAGATCTAGATAAGAGCTAATCCCTGCCCTGAAGGGTTTGCAGTCTCTCTATGAGCTGAGGGGTGAAAACATTATTTACTTCTGAAGGCTTCTGGTGTTGCTATGGTTCATAGTTGGAAAATGTGTCTGATTGTGTTTGACAATGATTATTTTGGTGGGTGGGTTTTTTCACGGTGCTCTTCAGGCATCCAGGCTCCACTCCCTGGAACTGTCCTCCTGGGAGAACCTTCTTCCCTTTGTTGTGTTAATTTCTATGGAATAAGTGTGCCCAGAGAATCAGAAGTGTTAATGTGTCCCTGTTGCTGTACAACACTAAACAGTGTGGGATTTTGAGTACAGAGACCTCAGCCTGTTTAGTTCTGTGGTAAACACATTAGAAAATGTGTGCCAAAATTTGGAAATGTATTGATTAGGATAAACAAGAGAAAAAGAATCAAAACAAGATATAAAGCATTTTGATATTGAAATTGAACGGGTATGGAAAACAAATGTAATCAAAAACTTATCAAAGCCCCATTTTCAGAGAGGATGCTGGTTGGAGTCTTATTTTGTCAAGCAATCCTTCTCTTGGTGGGAAAGAAAAGGATTAGTTCTGTTGAATTCCAAGTTGTGAGTGATAGGCACTCTTCCTGACTTTGACAGAGCAAACAGATGCAAATTGGGTAAGAGATAGGATAGTAAAGGTGGGGAAATACTATTATTGTTGACTTTCTCAGGATACAGAGTGGCTGGGCAGTCACTGACAGATGCTCTGGGCTGGCAGTCAGGCCATAACAGCTGTTGCTCTGGACCCTGGCTCACATTCCTGGCAGCAGAATATCATTCAGCTGGTCATCTCCCTCTCCTTCACCAATCCTTCTCAGGCCAACCACAGCTCGATGGGACAGCTCATCTCATTGTGCTGGTGCTGTGCAGTACAGTTGGTCTCAGGATCAGGTGAAAAGCTGAGAGAGAGAGATGGTGGGAGATGAAAAGGAAGGGGAAGACAGAGCAGGATCTCATGTGTATCAGGCTGGGGTCTTTGCAGCTGTCTCTGCTGGTGTGCCAAAGTCTGGGTGTCACAATCATCCTTGAAACTCACAAATGAAGGAAAATCTGTGGAATGAAGTGGAGACATGTTGGCCTCCACCAGGAGTTTTTTCCCATTTATTCTCCCACCACCACCACGCTTTCCCTTCCACCCCTGGCC